CCAAGGAAAACGCTTTCATAAGAGTCTGCATGTCGCCTTTCTTGTAACCTGGGCATTTCTATTTACAAGTACAATGTTTTCTTTTCTATGCAGTACAGGTTTGTATAGTGGAAGCGTTTACTGTCTAACGTTTTGGTTTCGCTTTATCATAGGCCTGAAAGCATATCGAAACTCATGAAAGCTATCTATCCTGCTCAACCTAAACCCGTTCTTACTAGTTGCAACTCAGACCAAGAGGCTACCAACGAAAGGGAACTCAAACCTCAGATTTACTTCTCCACTCCCACCAGCGCCAACGAACTGCTCAAGTCGACACAATGGAGCAAATGAGACTGATTAAGCACTGCTATAAATGACAGTGGGCGCATATGCAAAGCATCACAATCTCATTCTTAAAGCTCACGTAGTGGAAGCAATATATGGTAAGAAATCAGCCGCGACCGAGATGCATTCCTGTTATTCATACATGGGTTACGGTGCTTGATCCGGAACACCTCAAGGATTTTCCGGGCACCATCATCGTTTTCTGTCCGTATGGGAAAGTTGGTGATTGTTCACAAAGGGCTGCAGTTTACCAAATCCAATGCTCAATGTGTGACGCATTATATATTGGCGAAAATGGGAGGCAGTTAGGGACACTGGGAGTTACGCGTGAAAGAACATCCAGCAAGCAAGCGAAGGGAAAGTTTGATTGCACCGCTCGGCAGGCATAGAAGAGAACTCCATGATGGCTGTGATTTTAGCGTCAAGTGCATAATATTGGCCTACGAAAACGATGTTGGTGCCCGGAAAACCCTTGAGGCGTTCTGGATTAAGCACCGTAATCCATGTATGAATAACAGGAATGAGTGCATCTCAACGATGGCCGATTTCTTGCACTGTGTGAGCTTCAACAGCGGGATTGTGATGCACTGCATCTACGCCCACTACCATCCTCATCCTAGCAGCGCCCATTCAGTCTTATCTGCTCCACTGTGTCGACGTTGAGCAGTTCGTTGGTGCTGGTGGGAGTGGAGAGGTAATCTGAGGTTTGAGTTCCCTTTCGTTGGTAGCCTCTTGGTCTGAGTTGCAACTAGTTAAGAACGGGTTTAGGTTGAACAGGATAGATAGCTTTCATGAGTTTCGATATGCTTTCAGGCCTTTGATAACGACGAAACCGTCGAAACGTCAGGCAGTAAACGCTTCCACCATACAAACCTGCAAAAGCATAGAAAAGAAAACGTTGAGCTCTCGTAAGACATATGTTGGTTCCACGTTTTATAACACCACGCAACAATCCAACTGAATGTGGAAAAGAGAAACAAACGGTTATATAGTGAGAGATTACTCAAATGAAGGAGACACACGGAAATTGTAAGCGTGAGGGGCGGAGACTTCTAGGCGTGGCAAAACTTCACGCACTTATCAAGCAATTAGGGCCCCACAAGTAAGGCATCTACAGCACCTGCGGGCCCCACCCAGTTCAGGAAAGGGCTTGTGCAGGCCGACCTGCACTCCCAGACCCTGTCTTCGATCCCAATAACGCTGTCTCAGCAGTGACTGCAAAAGTAAAAAAAAATAGAAAGAAACGATACAAACATTTGTAACGGCTAAAATTGCATCCACGACAGCTGAAAACACGTGAAAAGAATAAGAATGACAAGCGGAACTAGGGTAATTAAGACATCGGAATAGTGACTGAAATGTGAAGGACTATGCTCAGATCTTGACAGTCAATTTCATGCACAGTTAGTAGATAACTTCGTCATGGTGGAAAAATAATTAGAAAAATCAAGACAAATATGGAGAACAGCGCGGAGAACAGCAAGTTTGTTTAGAGGTTGGTTTGGTTTTCCTAACGGAGCTATGAGATTGTTTTTTCAAGAGTTTGGAACTACCTCAGAAAAGAAACGCATACGTCTTTGAGAACTGTGAGGAGATCGAATGACTGCAAGCTTTATAAACAATCACGCACTAGTACAACCCGTCCCCTGCTCTACTGATTGAAAGATTTTGATGATACCAAAGCTTGCTTCCAGTACTGCTTAGAAAGCTAAGTAGCCACCCCCTTTGGTCGTGAGTGATAAGAAAAGTGAGAAGTGTTGTAATAAAACAGCTCCAACCTTGAGTTGTTGAAAGGGATCGACCCAAGTCACTATTTCCACAAATCAGAGAACAATGCAAAGTTGCATCTATTTTATATAGGACTCTTTGGTGCGAGTAATCCTATCCAAATTGATACAGTACCAAGCTGTGCGGCACTATCTCAAAAATATGCACGATCTACGGTATGAATTGAAAAGGAATTAAAGACACATAGTACGCTCATACACATTGAGGGTGTATGAGACTATCAGCCCCCCAGATGTCGATGTGTCGTGGTCCCCCCGCCCAAACATGCCCAGGAATGGAGATACAGGGCCGTGAAACACGCTAATTCCTCCATGCTCCGCCCACTGCCTTTACGGCGCAGATTCCCGCCTTCATCAACATCGCGTCGTAAGCTGCGCCTGTCGTCGTGCGGCCTACCCTTGGCACTGCTTGCCAAAGTCCTTTAATTGCGCTCCTCGAAATACAAGAAAACAGCAATTTCCTGATGCGGAAACCACTGAATGCTGCAAAAATAAGAACTATAAGAAGATGACTGGAGGGTACAGAGACTAAAAAGCAAGCAACTGTGCCACTTCTGCAACATCCCTCGGAGGCCACGTATTTCCACGAAACATGAAAATAAAAACGGCATACTCGTTAGTTTAATACAAGCAAGACGCAATTTCCTGATGCGAATAAAATTTGAGTTTTTCCTCATGCTTCAAAATCCATGTACAAGGAGATGAAGATGACACAGGCTAGAAATGAAGCACAACGATGTAAATGTAAACAAAACAAAAATGAAAAAATCAAGGAAAGGCAAATTAGATAAACTGGCCTGTAAATTTCTACGATCCGGCGCCAAAGCCATAGAAATACTTAGAACAAACGAGTGGGACGCTTGGGCTGTTTTTATTTTTAAGAATGCGCGGCCTCTGATGGATACTGCAGATGCAGCCGAGTTGCTCTTGAGTTCTGGCCCTCGTCATCATCTTCTGTTCTTATTTTGTAGCACCTCCAATGTTATCCGCATCAGGAAATTGCGTTTTACTGTATTTGAGAGCGCAATTAAAGGACTTGGCAAAGTGCCAAGGAGCCGCACGCGACAGGCGCGCTTGCAACGGATGTTATGAACGGCGGGAATCTGCGCCGTAAAAAGGCAGTGGGCGGAGCATGGAAGAATTAGCGTGTTTCACGGCCCTGTATCTCCATTCCTGGGCATGTTTGGGCGGGGGGACCACGACACATCGACATCTGGGGGCTGATAGTCTCATACACCCTCAATGTGTTGAGCGTACCATGTGTCTTTAAACAGATCTGAAAAGAGTAGGAGCACTGCTTCGCAGTACTTCCTTAGAAAAAGTAGTGCCTTCGAGAAACAAAACACTCTAAGACTCAAAAGGATCCAAAAAAGCTCCGCAGTTTCTTCGCGAAAAATTCATTCTTTCTCTGCTTGCAACAGTTCGATACGAATGTTGCTCCGGGACAGCAGAGTACTACAGTTTTATGAAACGAAGGATTAATTTCTCCACTCACCGCTCCAGGTAAAGAAGCTCCCCAACCAGCCGGACTTATTCTCTGGCACTCTGCATAGCACGCTTGTAGATGTTGAAGCAAATGTGGGTTCGCCTTTGGAAGCCTCTTCATTTTCTCGAGAAGCTAAAGATATAAAAGTTTCGAAGATGACAATTACATAAAAGAATAGCCCAAAAACATCCCTAGTGCTTCATTCCCACTCTGAGTATCCTTAGCCCTCATGAATATTGAGTGTTCAAGCAAACAACAACGTACCGTTGGTCCCATTACGATCATAGCCTGCTCCGAACACATTTCCACGGAACGAATACCATCCAAGAACAATCGGTGGTTCGCCGTACCCTACAAATTAGTAAAAGGAACTTCATTCCACAAAAAAGTGGGGCGCAGTTCGGTCTAGTGGGAGCACTTTGTTGGTTCTTACTGACTATTGTTGCTGCCTTATGTGGAGACCTGTGAACCCTCGTAAAGCTAAGCATAAGCACTAGCTCCGATCACACTCGACAAGGCCCTAAAGGTCTCACCAGGGTGGAACCCGTATTTGGACAAAAGGTAAAGCAAAAAAAAAACGCAAAATGGCCCAATCCTTCCGGGTGGAGTAACGCAAAAATGAGAAGTAGCGTTGCCATGTTATCAAGCTAATACCAACCGGCTGAATCTGATCATAGAAACGGTTCGCAGCACGAAGGTACAGGTCCATATCGATAAATGTCTTCTGTTTTGTCATTGTATCAGCCCATTTGTACATGCACTGAAATGATCGAAGCTTGATACATTTGGTACTATAATTAAAACAGCTGCACAAAAGCCACACACAACTCGCTATTCGTTCTTTCATTCGTCGATGTATTAGGTTGCATAAAATGTCCTTGCGGTCTTTTTTTGTGCATATTTGAACAATTTTTTTTATTGAAAGTCAGTTTCAATCAAGTACATGCTGACCATTATTATCTTTGACCTTTTGCCATTCATCTGATGATTTCACAATTCCATTGGTGTAGACTTGCGGCCCTTCGGTCGGCGCTTCCCACCGTAGGGAACTGGCAGAGATCAAGATAGACACAAGTTCCGTCAATTTGTTCCGAGTCATTAAAAATGTGTGTGGCCGCGCATTGTCGCGATGGAAGAGAACTCCCTCTCTACTGAGATCTAACAAACTACTCCTGGGCCCTTCGTTCGCTAACAGCATTTTTGCCGTACAATTCACAGATTTTTGGCTTACTTGCAGCGGTTTTGCTTTTCTTTTACAGTAAAAAAAACATCACATACCGTATTTCTTCAGACAGTCCGCTCATTTTCAAATTAATACAACTTTTTACATGAACAATGAATTAGAGAATTATCTTAGCAAAAAGGGTGGAACGTCGCTTCAAGCATATGTTTGGTCGAGACAATCGGGTGAGTGTTGCTCGTGATAAAGTATCAGCACAGGCTTAAGGTGAAAAACCGCGAGACTTTTTATGCAACCCAATATAACGGAGACTGAGCTATACCTTTATGAAGAGTTGAGCAGCATCTCCTTCCGGATCCTCCAAAAGGCTTGTCATCAAACATCGTGTGCACGCGGCAAAAAATGCAGTTCGCTCTACTCGCACACATAATCGAATAATCAGAGCGTTCAGAGAGCGTCCAAACTGGAATAAAAATGAATCAAAAACGACACACAAATATCCATCAATATTAATAACACTTACATGGGCCGAGTCGGGCATTGCAGAGCACACAGGATCTGACTGCGTTTTAATCAAAGTGTGGACCAATTCCCAAAGTATTCCATTGGTTGCATCTTCACCGACATTCATTCGAGCGTATTTGTCAGCTGATGCCGTTAGCTAAAGAGAACTGTGATAGCAAAAAAAGAACACATCAGAAGCAGCCCCTCATTATATAGAAACTAGGCAATGTCTCTCCCAGGGAAAAAATTAATTAGTACAGAAAAAGAAGAGGAAAATATGAAATCACCGGTGTAAGGAAATTAAGGATGAGTTTAAGCATGTCCTGCCCTTTCGGCGTATGAATGCCATGCATATTTCGCACGAGTTTCAACTGTGTGCCGACGGTTTGCATTACCATGTCTAAGCGATCCTCCAGCAGAGCTCTTTGGTCATCCACCGATAACAAGTATTGCACCTACAATACCGAACTTCTCATTTTGTTTAGAGGAACAAAAGGACGAACAATCCGCAGCAGCAGAACAGAGATAGAACCTATTGCGCCAATCAAATAATCTTTACCTGTTCCATTGCATCCTTCGCAACATCGATGAGACCCGAGGATATGTTTTGAATCACTTTTTCTAGTTGATCCATAGTGTCAACGGACGAGATTGACGAAGATGATCCGGTTCTTCTGCATGTAACATCAGTAAGATTAGCGGTGACAGAAAGGATGGTTGAATTCGCATGAATGGCTCTCGCTTGGCCAGATCGATGAGGACACAAGTAGAGGGGACGCCTACTGATTCTTCAAAAGCGTAGCAAAGCTAATGGACATGGATCGAGTCAATAAGTCAGCACATATGCTGACTATCCTATTCATCAGATCCCACGCGGCTTAACATTTCTTTTGCATTCCCCAGAACGCGACAAAAACTTTTGCTGCCCAATAAGACCACGCCCGTTTGGTAATGCACAAAGTGGATTTTCTCTCTATCTATCTTTCTCTACCTCCTTTCTCTTATTGGTTTGTTTGTGCCTTCCAAAAAATAGAACGCAACATTCCTAGAAAATTTTCCGGAGGATAGCATTGCAAAGGATATGACAGCTTCGAACTCTGTTAGGGCACCTGCTTGATTCCCAGGGTTCCCAAAAGGTATAAAGTTTTGAAATAATATCACAAAATTACCGATGGCGCATAGAAGCAGCAAACCGGTACCACTGCAAGTGAATGCACGCCCCGCACTCATTTGCTGTTCAGGTGATTTCGTGAAAATATGGAACGAAGGATCTTCTGATTTCGCAGC